CCGCCTGTTCTTGCTGCTGCTTGCCCGTCGAAGAGTGCTTCTGACGACCATCCACGACGCCCCGCCGGGCCCATGGCGCTCACCCCGTCGGACCAGGCGCTCCTCCTCGCGGCAGCCCTCCCGACTATTGAGAAGACGCGGTATGCCGAACGTGCGTACCGGGATTTGCGCTGTGCAGAGAAGCCCTTGCCTGACAGATACGCAGTTGCTAGCACCGTCATCATCTTGTTTGATCACCGTAAGTCGCGTGCGTTTCGCGCCGTAGTGGTACGCGCCCTAACATCCTTTGGCTCCACAAAGTCATCACGATTGATCAAGAGGTGAGTTTTTCTCAATGGTCATGTTTCTGTGAGCATAGCTGACGATGCTTGTGATAGATCAATCTCATATGGGTATGTCGTTGTGCCCGTGCACAGAGCATGTTCGCTCACGCGACTCTCACTTCAGCGCGCGCATTGGGGGTTAGGAAAGGTCCTGTTCCTGATTGTGAGTACTCTCTACTATACAGTGTGCGAATCGCGCCTCACATACAACGTAGAACCGATATTATGCCCTAGTCATAGTCATGTACGTCCTCCTACAGCCCATACTCCCCGCAGGGCGCTAATGCCATACTATCCTCAGCTTCAATAATTATGGTCAGAAAACGCGACGGCCTTGCCTATGAAAACGAACTAACATCTCTTATAGCGCTGTTCAACTCCAACCAACTCACAGACTCCGTGAGCAGAGATTTTGTATATGTCTCTGTACGGCAACCTAACCGCCACCTTCCCTACAGTTGTACGTTGTTCCTCGCGTACCACACGTTCGAACCTTACGATGTTCTCTGCCAGCTGTCTGTCCTGGTTTAGGTGGCAAGGCTGGACAGGCGTCATCACTTTCATCATCGCAGAACGTGAGTCTTCCCTTCCCACCCGCGTCGATCACCGTCTAAGCTACGCCGTCGCCGCAGTGATCCTGCAATTGCGACTGTACGCCCTCTACTTCCGCGACAAGCGCATCCTCGTCTGCATGTCCTTCGTCTGCGCCGGAACCGCCGCCACCTCCGCATACGTGATCGGCGCCGCCCTCTCCAGCATCACCTGTACGTCCCCTCCCCCTCCATCCCCTCCCCCCACTCGCCTCGCCTTCCGGTGCTAACGCCGCCGCTATGCAGCGACGGCGGTGTGGATCCCGCACAAAAACTCGACCGCGTGCATGCCGAGCCACATCCCGGCGTACTTCTACGCGTTCTGGATCCCAATGCTCGTCTCGGAGAGCGTGCTGTGCGGGCTCGCGCTCGTGCGCGGCTTCCGCGCGTACACCCCCGGCTCGAACGTGTTCCAGAACGGACGGCGCATCATCGAGGTCCTCGTGCGCGACTCGCTGTTCTACTTCGTCATGTGCGTCTCTCTCTCCCGCTCCGTCTGGTTTATCACTGGCACTCCCGGGGGCTGACACGGCGGCGGCGCGCTTTGGCAGCATCTTCGCGACGTACCTCGTCAACACGGTGCTCTTCATCACGCAGGCCGACTCCGAGGTCGAGATCCCGATCGGGTTCGCCGTCGCGCTCTCCGTCGTGCTCTCGAACCGCCTCTGCCTCAATGTGCGCGGGTACATCCGCCCCGCGGACGACTCCCTCCCGCCCCTCCCCGCCCGCGCCCCAGCGCTCGTCGACCTCTCGCACAGCCTCGGGTACTCGTCGCACACGCACACGCACGGGGGGTACCATTGTGAGGAGGACGGGGAGGGGGAGGATGACGGGTACGGGGTGGGGCAGACGACGTTCTCGGTCGTGCATGGGGGCGTGCTGAGCGATCTGGAGATGCACGAGCTGCGCGCGATGCGCGCGCAGAGCCCGAAGCACGTGCGGACGTTCTCGTAGCCTTCCCCTGCCCGCTGCCCGTTGCCCCCTGACCGCCCGCCGCTGGCTCGCGCGTGTATATCCTTATCCAGCTGTATTCCCGACTTTACATCATCGCTACGCCGTCGCTCCCTACTATAGCGCATCACTGCCTTAGTGTCTGTTGTATCACCCGATTTGTACGCTCGTTCTGTGTATGTAGATATATCCTACTACCCTGCCACTTGGCCACTTCCGTTCAATGGTGCCCACGGATACATACATGTATGTCCAGAGTGTTAGAGTGTGCTTTCGACCTCTGAGCGTCAGTACTCCTAAACCCCGACGCGCTCGTTGTCTTTGCACTCGACGCATCGGTGTCGGAGATGGCAGAGAAACTCCCCCACCTCGTCGTTCGCACTGAGAATGCCCGCGTCAGTGCTGAAACAATTATTGCAATATTGAATACCGGTGAAGGAGTGTCGCCCCGCGGCGACACTCACTGCGGCCAAGTGCCCCCACATTTAGAATGCGCGCACTGGACCTAGTATACTTCATGATGCTTGGAAGGAGGCTAGGCATGGCAGTCAGCGAAGTGGCCTCTGCTGCGCTGCAATGCGCCTCAGGTCAACGGAAGTGAATTCATCGCAGAATTATTGGAGGAGTGCGGCTGGATTACAAGGGCATCAAAAACATATAACATATACTTGTAAGAGGAAAAGGGATAGATACGTCTAGAAGATGAACGATCTATTAGTCGCAGCTACCAGCGGGCGGGGACTGCTCGCGCGGACTGCTCGGACACGTCAGACCTCCGTGCGAGCAGGGCTTGCACGGCCATCCACTTGCGCTTAAACGCAACATGCGCATTGCCCACGTAGCGCGTCGTGCCCCCATATTCCACTTCGCGCAACCCTGGGAACAAACGGACCAGGACGGCCGCCGCCTTCCTCGGGTCCCCAATACCCGCGTCGCACGCGGTGAACACCCGCAGCGGGCTGCGCGACGGCTCGGGCAGGAGACGCGCAAGCGCGGCCGTGTCCGGCAGCTGCGAGTCGTCCGCGTTGACATGCAGCGTCAGCATATCCAGCTGGGGGCAATTGCGCGCCAGCGGAACGAGGTCGGCGAGGGCCAGGCACGGGGCGTCGCGGCGGGGAGGGTGGGCATGGTCGCTCATCAGCGAGAGGATGCTGAGCTCGGGCCACGCGTGCGCGATGTCCTGGAGCGCGCGCGCGCGCACGACCAGCGCGGGGATGCGGATGACGAGGGTGGCGAGGTGCGGGAAGGCGTAGAGCGGGCGGAGCGCGTCCCCGACGTCGAGCACTGGGGAAGAGGCGTCCAGGGCGTGTGTGCGGTCGAAATCGAGCTGCAGGCTGGTCAGGGCGTCGCGGGAGGCCGCGCGCGCGACGAGCGCGAGGTGCTGCTTGACCGTGTCGGTGTCGGGTTGTTGTCTGAATTCGAGCACAACCCGCCGCAGCCTCCCCGCTGGCATGGCGCCTAGGAAGGTCTGCAGGCTCTCGTCCATCTGGTCAGTGCCGAGCGCCAGGACTTCGAGGGCGTCGAACCACGGTGCGCCGCATGAGGAGCGGGCTGTGGAAGCGCGCCCGGCTAGTATCTCCATCTCTTTTTGCCTGACGTAGAACCCCACCTCCAAAAGCCTGGGCAGCGCTGCCAACGCCGCCACGCAGTCCGCCGGAATGCGAACCTCGCTGATGAAGGACTTGATGTCTGGCAAGCCACGGAGGAAACGCACGAGGGCGTGGCCGACGACGCCCGTGAACTCCCGCGTGTTGTCGCCTTGTGCGTCTTTGAGGATTATGAGCGACTCTATGTCGCTGCACACCGTCCCTACGTGCTCGAACAGCGCCGTCATGACGGACGGTTCGACGTCAGATGCCATAAGACCTAATTGTCTGATGGTGGGCGTGAGGAAGAGGCGGACGAAGGGGGAGTGGGTCGCCCGCGGTTCTAACCAATCGAGTATGCGGAGGCCGGGGAGGAGCGGCTTTTTGCCATGGCGGGAAACGTCAATCGCAGTCAGAGCGAAGAGCGAGACGTTGCGAGGCTCTTCCCAGACAAGGTGCTGTACATGTTCGGCATAGTGGTCGAACCGCGTCCAATCGAGTCTTTTCGGATCTGTCACCGTGATTCGCTGTGGATGCCGTTAGTCTGTGGGTGCACAAGCGGATGTGACGAAGATGAGGCGAGACGTACAAAGACGTTCCCGCCGCTTGGGAAAGTGTCCTCTGACCATGTGTCGGGCGGAAGAAGCCGCAAGAGCTGTGTGAGGCCATCTTGATGCTTCCACAACCTCGGTATGGACGCCGCATGGAGCGTCTTGCACGTTCGCGCGAACGCCGCCAGAGTGCATTTGCGCGTGCGTGGGCAGAGCGAGTCCACGATGAGCTCGAAGATCTCGCTGATGACGAGGCAGTCATTGACGGCGGGAGTCAACGAGAATACCATTGTCGTTTTTCGAACCTGTGATAGGAGCCACAGCAATCGTGGTCAGCCCTCATAGAGTATATTCTGGAGCGATGGCGTACCTGGTATGGTGCTCCGGGATGTGGATGCACTTGTGGCGGCGACGGATATTGCTGCCATCAATAGCGAGATCCGCGACTATATGTGACGGGCCCATCCATGCGCTTTGACTACCGTATCTCAGCGGTATAGTCTATGCGGTTCGCAAGCAGCCTTGACGCCAACCAGTGGAGGACTAAGCGGTGACACTTGCGAGTGAGCCTGGCCGACGCATAGATACGTAGTCTACCGCGACGCATTGTGCGGTCAAAGCCATGGAGCATGCGTTCATTTCTCGCCCTTAAAATCTGCTCATATGGAATATTAGTCACGGTAGTGATTGCTACGCACAATTGCAAGATCCACTAAGTAAGAAAGCAGCACACCGTGACGAGACCGGGTGGTCCTCGGATAGCCAGGCCAGGTGTCGAGTCTTGCACTGTTCCAGTCCCTGATCAGAGTCTGATTTCCGCATCGGTATCGCACGCCGGGATAGTTCGAGGCGTCCACTTTCGTCGACAGATGTATCGAGGTGAACCGTGAACGTTTGAACCGTGAAGAATTGGAGAGAGAGCCGCAGGCTAAAACGCGAGAGATTAATCTCATGCGGCGCAGAATTTGGAGACTGCATACATCTCCCGTCCTCCGACATGGCGAGATGGCCGAGCGGTCTAAGGCGCCAGACTAAGGAGTACCCCGTGGTGCTGCGATATCTGGTCCGAAAGGGCGTGGGTTCGAATCCCACTCTCGTCAGTGGCGATCGTTTGGTACAGCATTTTGCATTCTCCAACATCTAAAGCAGGCTAATAAGGGCTACACAATTGCACATACAGTATTACATAGCATGCAGCATCCCCGCACATCTCTGGCCAACTCGGGGATTGCGCGTCGCAAACATTCATATTCACTCTCAGGCGCATGGATGCCCGTGCGGTAGATTACAATGTACATTTGTTCATCTGCCTACGCATACAGCCTCGCATTTTTCTTCTATGGATAGTAGCTTAGGGAGAATCGCATATACTACGCGTTCAAACTTATGCCCTCTTCGTGTTGATGATGTCCACGAACTCGGGCTTGAGCGACGCGCCCCCAACGAGGAACCCGTCGACGTCCGGTTGGCCGCCTATAATCAACGCCCATCAGCTCCCGCCCCCAACGCTGCGGCCGCAATAAAAAAAACCCACCAAGCTCCTTGCAGTTCGCCGCCGTGACCGACCCGCCATAGATGATCCGCGTGCTCTCCGCGACCGCGGGGGACACCGCGCCCGCGAGGAACGCGCGGATGTCCTTGTGCGCGGCCTGCGCCTGCGCGGCGCTCGCGACCTTGCCCGTGCCGATCGCCCACACGGGCTCGTACGCGACGACGACCTTGTCCCAGTCCGCGGGCGTGAGGGCGGCGACGACGGGCGCGAGCTGCGCGTCGACGACGGCCTTGGTGCGCTCGGCCTCGCGCTCGGCGAGCGTCTCGCCGACGCAGAGGATGACGCGCAGGCCCGCGTCGATCGCGGCGCGCGTCTTGTCGGCGACGAGTTCGGAGGTCTCGTGGAAGAGCGTGCGGCGCTCGGAGTGGCCTGCGGGAGGGGGCGGGGTTAGTGGAGATATGCGGTGGGAGGGGAGGGGGCGTACCGAGGATAACGTAGGGGATGCCTGCGTCGACCAGCTGGGCAGGGCTGGCAGGAGTGTTGGGTCAGTATGGTAAGGAGTGGGTATCGGTCAATGAGGCATACCTGATCTCGCCGGTGAACGCGCCGGAGGTCTTGAAGTAGGAGTTCTGCGCGGCGACCTGGATCTCCTTGCGGAGGGTCTCCTTCAAGGGGATGAGGTAGAGCGCGGGCGGCGCAATAACGACCTCTGTGGACACCTGATCAGTATACCATCGCGGGGTTGCAATGCACAAGCGAACACATACCGACGTTGGTGTCGATGTCGGCATCGTTGAGGACCTTGACGAGGGCGTTCTTCTGCTCCCGGGTGACCGGGTTCATCTTGAAGTTGCCACCCACGAAGAATTGACGTCCCATGCTGTCTGACTGTGTGTGTGGGAGGGTTGGAGGTAGTTGGTTGAGGGTACGGAAGAGAGGAGTGAGGACACAGAGAGGGATCGATTGGATTAATATTGCGCGCAGGGTTGCCCTCTGGGTCGATCCCGACGCAATCTCGATGAGCCGGAGTCGATCCATCCGAATCGCGGAGCATCTAATCTTATCGCGGCGCAGGCTTCTGTGACGCGACGCGTCTCGGTCGTGACCACACGCGTCTTGTCCAGGACCACATCGGACGTCGAGTGAAGAGTCTGCGGCGCGGTGAAGAGTCCTGCCATGGAGTGGGGCTGAGGGCAGGGGGCAAGCTGGACGTATTTCTACGCCCACTAGTATCCCCTCGCCGCACCACCACCCCCTCAAGAACATCCACCATGGTCCTCACTGCATCCGCCGGTGGCAAGAAACGCAAGAACGACGAGAACACACCCGTCGCAGTGCCCATGAAGAAGGCACGCACTCTCAAGGACGGCGCTCACTCCGCCGTTGCGGTCCTTGTGGACACGATCCTCGCCAATCCCAAGGCTTGCGCTGTGCCCTCCGGCGATGAGGCAGTCCGGAGCATTCTCGTGGACATCGCTCTCTACGCACGCGCTCTTGAACAGCAGGAACCCCCGCTGCCCCCGGCTATCGCGAATCCCACTGCGAGTAGCAGCGCGACAACCTCCGTCGCGGTCGTAGCTACTGCCAAGTCTCTGGAACAACTCAAGGAGGAGGCCGAAACCATCCGGCGTACCGCCCAAGCCGGTATTATCAAGCAGATGGGCGTGAGTGCAGCCGCATATACACACACGTGAACCCGGTCTGACGCGCATACATGCAGTGGAAACCGACGTGCAACACTGGGAGAACGAAGTGGTGCTACGACGGCTTCTGCCCCGACCCCGAGGTCTTCGGCGTGCTCATGGGACTCGGGGGGCCGCCCAAGTTCAGCATTCAGAAGATCAAGACCGACGAGTTTACAAAACTCATGGGGGGCATTGAAGGCTCCGTGAGGTATGTAGGCTAGTACGCGTAGTTTGCTATATCCCTTGTTTTTACATCTCTGCGACAGGTATGCTTCACTTTACATCACGAGCCCCCAGGTCACCGTGCGCTGGATCGGTAACGGCGAATTCAAGTTCAACGGGTTGTATGGAAAGTACCAGTCCAACAAGACGGCCCTTCGATAACGTGTGCTCCGGAATCGTTGCATTTACGGTGTCTCTAGTTGGTATTCGCATGTAAGTATACGAAATACTACGGCTGTGTATCATGATAACTCGATAGTAGAAAGACCTTGGGCAACGCTGCCTGGCATCGTCTCAGAGAGAGGGGACGATTTAGGGACCTCAGATGACGATGACGATCAAGGGCTGATCAAACGCGTGACCCCATGCGATATGTTTTGTGACCCGACGCGACATTGTGCCCAGAACGGCCTCCTCCGCGGACGGCGACCAGCCCTCTCTTTGTCTCCTCCCCCTCACTCTCCACAGTCTCCACATCGCGCGCCATGTCCTCCCAACCGTCCGGCTCGAAGCGGAAGACCGACGACGGCGCACCCGCGCCCGCCGCTAAGAAGACGCGTGGCGGCGCCGCCCACGCCGCGACCGTCGCCCTCGTCAACTCTATCCTCGCGAACCCCAAGGGATACCCGATCTCCGGCAACGAGGAGGTCGTGCGCAAGTCCCTCGTCGAGCTCGCCAAATACGCGCGTGAGCTCGAGGAGCAGATCGCGGGCGCGCCGGTCGCGGGGAGCAGCAAGGCAGTGGTCGCTGTCGCTGCGAAGCCCGCGAGGAGCCAGGCGGAGCTCGAGGCGGCGGCGGACAAGATCAGGCGCGCTGCGCAGAGCGGGATCAAGAAGCAGATGACGGTACGTCCACCCTCAGGCTGCGCATATACGGGTCTTCCTGCGTTGCGGCGCGCGACGGCTGACCCCTGTTGTTGTGCAGTGGAAGCCGTCGTGCAAGACGGGCTCCGCCAAGTTCTCCTACGACGGCATCTGCCCTGACCCCGAGGTGTTCGGCGCGCTGATGGGCCTGGGCGGGCCTCCGAAGTTCAAGATGAAGAAGTTCAGCACGGACGAGTTTCAGCGGCTCGTGGGCCCCGTCGAGGGCTCTGTAAGGCACGCCATTCGTGCTATTCTACGTTTGCTCGCGTTGCTGATGCTATGCGTGTGGTACCAGGTACGACACGCTGTACATCACGAGCAGCGACGTCACCGTGCGCTGGTCCGACAGCGGCGAGTTCAAGTTCAGCGGGTCGTACGGGAAGTACCAGCCCGGGAAGGACTACTAGTGCGGACGACTCGCGACGATATGCATGCCCCCAGCTATGCGGTGCGGTGATACTTGATTTTCTCTAATCTACCCTACTATCATGCTGCATCCTAGTTTCAATCATTCTCTTTCGTTGGTTCAGGATCGGCCCGATACGACAAACGCACTGAAAGAGCAAAGCACAGTCAAAGACGCTCCGAGAATGCAACTCGACGACAAGAACAGCTCGCTCGTCCTTCAATCGTCCTCGTCGTCCTGCACCTTTTCAGCCTCGACTCTGCGTCGCTTTCCGCTTCCTCCGGCCTTGTCGAGCGAGATGGTTTGTGCGCCGCTGTAGCGCCTATGGTTCATGTTTCCGCGGATGATGGCCTTGTAGAAGGTCCTGTTGAAGCCGATGCACTCGAGCTGCACGCAGGGCAGCCTGAGGTCGCCAATCTCGTAGCGCTCCAGCACGTCCTTGATGGTTAGGCTCTCGCCCGCCAGCGACGGCAGCTTCTTGGTCAACGTGTGTTCCGCGTAGACAACCTTTGTCTGCGTATCCGCACAGGGCGGACTCGGAGGTCAGCCCTCATTCTCCGCTAGGACGAGGGCGGGGCGCATCCCGAGCTCACCGGCAGCGACAGCATGTTCCACTCCTCGATCATGAGGTCGTCGACGCGCCGGACGCGGTACTCGCCGCAGTAGAAGAACCAGCGCGCGGCGCCGACGAAGACGTGCTGGTTCTGCCCGTCGAGGAGCAGCTTGAGGTCCTGCTCGAAGCCGATCTGCATGTACCCGTGCCGCCCTGGCGCGGCGGGCAGCCACGGGTTCATGTCCATGTTGAGGCACAGGAACGACGAGATGTCGTGGTCCCGCGCGAGCTCCGTCTGGCTGTTCGTGCACCTGCCATCGATATCCCCGAGTCGCTCGCCCTGCCAGCGCTTTGGTATATGGTGGAGAAGGCATAGCGCACCTAACGAGGAATCCGCCCATGGAGCCGCCGAGGGTGGCGTTGATCGAGGCGCGCGTGAAGGCGCTGTACATGCCGCTCAGCTTGGGCGGGAGGTCGACGTGCACCTCGGGCAGTTGGGCGAGTGCCCGGGCGCGGTGGGGCAGCGCGAGGAGCCCAAGCGCTGTGAGGTTCAACCTGACATTGCTGTCGGCGAAGACCAGGTGTGCGTTTGCATCGCAGGCCACTCACGATGTGATCGACGGAGGTACCTGGGCAGTTTGAGCTGATGTTCCCCCAGCCTAGAACACGTTGGATTGATGTGAGTGGTCGGTGTTATGAAGTTGCTTGGTATGACTTACTCCCGATGGGTTGTCTCGGCATAGCACGAGCTCTACTTCGAGACGCGCCACCTTCTTCAAGGCAGCGTGGAGCTGAAAACCGGGCGGGGTAAGCACAGGGCGACACGCCGAAAGAGAACACAAAGGACGACCTTCGCTTTCGTGTCCTGCAGCTCCGCTT